TTAAGACAATTTTTAATATTAAATGAGAATTTTGACAAGAACATGCTTTAATAGATTTTGTCACAATTTAATACACTTGTCAACATGAAATACTCAAGATTCTTATGATTTGTATAAATTGTGATAAAATGAGAACGACCTTTTAGGTAGTAATGCTATTTTAGAAATGAATAAAAAATAATAAGTCCTTTGTTATGAATCTCATGATTAATGTCTAATGTTGAGATTTTGTTTGAATAATAATAATAATAAAAAGATAGAGCCAATCATTTATATCCATTTATAATAAAATTACATCTATTATAAATTTTAATATATCTATTTTTATGATTTAAAAATATATATATCTTGATATTTTTTATATTTCTCCAAGATTCTATTCCAATCTACATTTGAATGAAGACTTGGTACTAAAAAAATGACAAATGTATTCTCATCTTCTATAGCTTGCATAAATGCCTTGATTCCTAAAAATAAATTTCAAGATGATTTGCTATTATTGGAATTAGATCTTGAAGTAATCTTTTGTAATTTCCAATCAATATCAAGATTATGTAATTCAAACTAAAAAAGGCTAAATACTACTAGATTTAAAAAACATTGAACAATATTAAATATAATGTTAGATGCTAGATTTTATAATGACACTTTCAATAGTTTGATTTCTTCTACGACATCTTTATATTGAAGTGGTCATCCATCAATAACTTCTATTATATTTAGTCAAAACTTCTTTGAAAGTATTAATTCTTATTATAATACAAAATATTTATTCATAAAACATATTGAGGCTTATGTGCCTAAAAATATTTAAGTTTAAAATTTATGATTGAAAGTTGTAATAATTATAAAAAGATTAAAACAAGATGTGAGATTTGATTGTAATATGGGATTTGTATTTGATGGCTTAAAACAATTTAATTGCAAGGTCTCTATTACAACTAATGTCTTTGTTTTTCAACTTTTACATATTTAAATTTATGTTCCTTGCTCTAAATCCTATTTATTTGATGTAGTAGTCTTATATCTTATGACCTTCTTTTTGACAATATAAACACAAGTTTTCATAACAATGTATATTTTTTTATTTTGGTGTCAATTGCTTGAATTAAATTGTGTTAATGTGTATATGTTTTTGCCTTGATGAATAAGTTTTTGAAAACTTAAAAGTTATTTTGATAACTTAATTTGTTCCTCTCCAACCGAATCTTTGTTTTTGGTATCTTTCAAAGAACCAATTGTTGCAAACAATTGCTTAAGTAATAAATTCTTCTAATAAGTTTTTTATTTTTATTTTTTTACATTATTAATAATAAATCTTAAAAATTATCTTTTGACATATATCAAAATTAACTAAAGGCTTTAATATTCCAATTCATTTTGCAAGCAAGATTTTAAAATTTAGTAGGATAGATTGTGATTCTTGTTATAAATATAATATTTTTTTTTGATATATTTTTTCAAATACTTTTTTTAATCGTAGCCATAAATACTTTTAAGAATAAAATTAAATCATGTGGGAATTATGAATCATTTTCCATCAAATGTACAAATTAAAAGAAAATACTACCAAATAAAAATGCAGCTAAAAATTCAACTTGATTAAGTCCGTCAAAATATTGAAAATAATAAAGTCTTAAATAAATCCTAACTTATTGTAAAAATTCTTAAAATTTAGATTTTTTCCATCAATCTTCTTTGATATACCAATCTTTGCTTCCTTCATACTTGTAGTTGTAAGACTTTTTGGATTTACTTATAATATTGATCTATTTGTTTTTTTGTAAATTACACAATTTCTTAGCATATATTGGACTTTATTGTTGATTTCTTCTATAGGCATAGGAATAATACTTCCATTGTTATATTAATAATACATAATTTTTTTATGCTAAGAATATTTATAAGTTCATCTAGACCTACAATAATTGCAAATGGATTTTCACCTCTACAAAAAAGAGCATCCATAATTTGATTTCTTTCCATCTCTATAATAAATGACTTTAACAAATCCAGTAGTCAAATAAGAAGAGGGCATTTTGTAACTTCTAATATTAAATATTTTTTTTGTAAAGAAGAATAGTCTATTCTCTTTAAAAAAATAGTTAATATTTAAAAACAAAAAAATATTAGTTCATAGGTAGATAATCCATAACATTTAAAATACAACAATAAGAAGTAGATTTATTCATTTAATTTTAATAAAATAACATATAACAAATTAAGACTCTTTTTAAATTATTAATAATATAAATCACAAAAAAATCTAATAATAATAATACACTCTTATATTACCAAAAGAGAAAAAATAGACAAATCAAGGATAGATATAAAATTGAAATTAGACCAACTACTATCAAATAAGAAAAAAACTAGGAAGTTTTGAACCAAATGAGTAAAGAAAGTCTCACTCTTGCATTAATTTATACTATCTACTAAAGAACTCCATGTCAATGCCTAGATATATGACACATGTCCAATTTACAAAACAAGTGTTTAATTTTTTGGACAAATTTTTCAAGTGTGTGCCACATGGCCAATTTAAAATTCAAGTGGTTAAATGTTGTGGCATGTAGCCAACTTATTGGCCAAGTTATCAATCTATCAATTATTTATAGATACATATAAAGTTTAGAAAGCTCTCTAAAAAAATATCAACAATTTAATGCACTTCTACTTACTTCTTCTTAGTTCTATTCATTTAAGTAAATATATTAGTTAATATGATTATCTACTACAAGTCGACAATGTTAATTATATCATTTGATTTATCAATATTTATTATACATTTTTTTGAAAAACTAATTTAAATTTAGTTTTTCACCAAATTTATATAAAAAACTAAGATAGAATAAAAACTCAATATTTATAAATTTTTAAGAAATTAAATAATATATATATATATATATATATATATATAAAATTTAGAAAGAGTTTTTTTAAAATTAGTTTTATAGGAGTTAAATAATTCTAATATAAATCTTTATTTTGGTGAATTTAAATATTATATTTTTAATAGTAAGCTAATCTAATCTAATAATGTGTTTTTTTGCTTAATATTAATAATATATAATAAATAAATTATTATTTTTTAAAAAATTATTATATTTATAGAATACTTCATCATATTATATTAGATTAATTTTATTAATTAAAATTATTATTTAAAATATCAAACATTAATATCCTTTTATTAAACATTGAGTTAAAATTAAAAATAAATTAGAATATTATAATTCATATTTTAAAAACCATTTAAAATGAATTAATATCTACAAAGAAGATGATTAAACATCTCATTTGTTTTTGAACTCAATTTTCTATAAGATATTATTTATAGTTTTATTAAATATTTATTATTTTATCTGAATAATTATTCTATTTTAAATTAAATATATTTTGGTATTTATGAATTAATAGGCTAATTATAGAGAATTTTAAAAAATACACTAAGATATAAGAATTCACAAATCTTTATTTAGGAGAAAACCAAGAGTATTACAATTCTTTTATTAATTTAGTTTAAAAGACCGTTTGTCATTACAAGCAAGAAATAAAGTTTTTCTTCTTTGTAGCTACAAAATGACCAATTGATATTGCAAAAAATTAATTTGCTAATTTTTTTGATCCATTTATTAATCCTGAAGGAATTCCATAAAAGAGCTTATTCTATAAAAATACTAAAATTTATGAAAAATATAAATTGTATCTTGAGTTTGTACCCATTTTGATGTGCATTTATTGGCAATATATTTTCACCAATAAATACCAAAGTTGGATACATAATAACAATTTTTGTGTTCCTTTTTTGGTATTATGTATTTAAATTTAAGTATTGTGTATTTTATTTGAACTTATAAAATAATTACAATAAAATATTTGAACATTCATAACCTATGATTTGTATGTTAATAAACAGTTACGATGACAATAACACAGTAGAAAAAAAATTCTAAAAGTTAGTAATTTATGAGTATAGATTCCATATATATACATATATATATTAAAATTCTTAAAAGAGAATTTCAGAAATGCTTTACAGATGATTCGATGGCAAATCTTGTCAAGAAATTTTTCACAGTGGCTCGCATAGCAAAGCATTCAAATAGAATGGGATGTTTTCAATAGTCCTACTTGAGAATCTTTTAATCATTTAAAAAAATTCCAAGTACTAACTAACTAACTAACTAACTAACTATATATATATATATATATATACACTTATATAATACATACACATACATAGTGTAATTTTTAATAATCACAAAGAAATTGAGGGTAAAAATGACAGAAAATGATTAGAACTCAACAAAAACACGAATACAACTCCATTCTATTATTTAACCCAACAAGTGCCCACCTGCACTTGATTCCTAGTTAATCATTGGCACGATGGAAGCACAAGGGTCGGTCTTAGGCGGTGACCGCACGGCCACGGTACCCACATACACGGGCTCCTACACCCACTCCCACAGCGAACAGCGAGTGATTCGTGAAGCGGCAGAGGCAGCGCTCGTCGCTCACCGCGTTCGAACCGCTCAATCTCACGTTAAGCATGACCCGATGGATCGAAGCCACACACGCACGCACGCACGCACGCACGCACTCAGAGGAGCCGAATATTCAGGAATCGGGCGATGCATTTGAAGCTGATTTCTTCTCGCTGAGGTCGTCCTGCCCCCGCAGTCTGCATTGCTATAATTACGCAGGATCACTGTCTGGCTGCTCTGTCTGCGCAGGCTGGATCCTGAATTGGCTTCCTCCCTTTGCTTAATTGGTTGCGCTGCCTAAACTCCACCGCTTCTTCCCCTTTCAGCACCTTCTCAGCCATTCACGCACCCCCTGAGTGTGCATTGCTCTTGTCTACGTTGTATGATGGCCGCTGGCTTCACTGCCCCAGCCGGATCCGCGATTTCTTGCCAGGTTACTTGCCTTTCCGGCGTACTTGAGGTGGCTGTGTTTAGACTCAAATGTTTCACTACTTGTCGCCCTGCTTGTTCGCTCCTTGGTTCACATTTCGTACCCTCTGGATCCTCCTTTGTTGTTAGATCCGTTCGAGGACCACATCGAGGGCGTGGCGTTTGTTGGTGGTGTGTCAGACGTTGTCCTTGGCTGATGAGGAGCTGTGAGTTCTTGATGGGGAACTGTTGAAGTGATTGAACAATGTGGTGTGTAATTTTTGTTTAAAAAGAGTTAGAGACAATGTTTTTTTATTACTGTTAAGTGAAATGTTATATAAGTTGGATGGTCAACTTGGGTCTGATGACTTGGTTGTTCTCTGACGTCGGGCAACTGGAACACACACGGAAGGTAATATGGTACGATTAGTCTGCCCGTGAGGGTGTGTGGAGCCCGTCTCGTTTTCTGTTGAGTGATCTGAGTAGGTGGAGAGAATGATTTTTTCGTTGTGTTGAGTAACTTGAGGAGGTCAACGAGCAATAAAGCTATTCATATAAATTCGAGGATTGAAATTGATGTGTTAGTTTGTGGTCACGTTTATGTTTTGTGATGCTCTTTGCTTAATTATGTTTTCTTTCGCAGCTGCCTGTTACTGGAATGAGGTCCACAACGATGGTGAGTAAATGCACCATGGGGGCGCTGGCCTATTCTCAAGTTGCTGCTCTGGTACGTCCCTTCGTCTTTGCTGAGTACAAACTTGTCTTCTTCTACTGAGGCTACAGTGGGTGAACTAACGAGTGCATTCGCAGATTTTTTTTAATATTTTCACTTCAATGAAGCGAATCTTGATACTGAATTTGTTTTTTGGCTTATTTTTGTAGAAGCATACGATTGCCCAGTCTTCTACGATGCTTACAAACCCCACTGGTTCGAGAACTTTGTCCGGCCTGTCTGGGTTGAGAGGACTTCGCCTGTCAAGAAGGGTGAGCAATAATTTATCTGTACGGAGTGAAATGTTGCTGGTACAGAGTTTCTTCAGTAATGCTTGCTAGTCTCATGCTGTCATATGGGAACAATTTATGTAGATTTGAAGATTTATAGTATATTAAATAATGTGCCAAAATTCATAGAGATATCGAAGCTGTGAAAACTGTGACAGACGTCCAGGTTTTAACGTGGATCTCAACTTAGAAGGGGTCTTGAAATTGTTGCAGCAGGTTGTTAACGTTACTATTCGCATTATTTCAGGGTCCTAAAAATGAACATACACGAAACTTGACGATTGTTGCCACAGCTGCACCTCTTTCTAGGCAATTCACTTCAGTGCCAGGGTTTACTCAAATTGGAGAGCCGGTGAGATTTCAAAACTCACCTTAAACCATTTTAAACAGATTGATGGCGTTCTAGATTGGCGGTATCATTATTTGAAATGCTAACCTTGACTTGTGTGTAAACCGCTGGTTAACAGGTCCCTGAGGGCGTTAACCTTAGCGATGTCGTCAAGAGTCTTCCAAAGGAGGTATGGAACATCTAAGAAATTCTCAAAGCAAATCCCGGCAACATCACTACAAATCGGCTCGTCTGTTTGAAGTTCTGTGCTCTTAACTGTAGTGGAATTGCACTTTTGGTGCACGATTCACCTAATTATTAGTCAGAAACTGTCAGAGAAAATCGAAGTCACATACTCTCCCTGTATAGACGACACATGTCCACGAAAACCCTGATCATATCAACCTTTTGCCATGTTTCTATGCTGCAGGTTTTTGAGATTGATGATGTTAAGGCATGGCAGACTGTTGCTATTACTGTGGGAGCAGTTGCCCTTGGGTATGCTGCTCTAGCTGTGGCTCCGTGGTATCTCTATCCACTAGTTTATGCCTATTTGGGGACTGCAATGACGGGCCTATTTGTTGTTGGTCACGATTGTGGGCATAATTCTTTCTCCAGAAGCCAATTAGTCAATGACATCGTTGGAACAGTTATGTTTATGCCTTTGATATATCCTTTTGAGCCTTGGAGAATCAAGCACAATACTCATCATGCTCACACTAACAAGTGAGTTCTGAACCATTCTTTTCTGCTCTAATTCTACATTTTGCCTCTTTCTTTCTTTCTTTCTTTCTTTCTTTCTTTCCTTCCTCCTACTCCTCCAACAGATGTGTATATATATATATAACCATATTCAAATTTCAGTGAATAATTTATGCACGCATCATGATAGGAGTATAATGGATGAGTGGTAGACATTGAGCCACTAGTAGTACTGCTTGATGAGCACCACTAATTCCACTTTTATTAGTCAGCGCTGGTTTACATTGCAAAATGTGCTTTTTAATAACCAAACTGTCTTGGTAGGTTGATAATCGATACAGCATGGCAACCATTCAGACCATACATGTATGACAGAGCCAAGGGGTTTGCTAAGTTTGCAATGGAAGCTGCCATGGGGCCTCTTTGGTGGATAGCCTCTGTGGGTCATTGGTTGTTCTGGCATTTTGATCTCAGCAAGTACAGACCTCAAGATGTCCAGAAAGTGAAGGTAGGTGCTGTGTCAGCTTTTTATTTGTACACATTGTATGTTAGAACTTATGATTCACCTTGCTCTCGTACTTAATGGCTTAATATTCAATGGTTCTTTTTGGGTGTGAAGGTGAGCTTGGCTGCTGTCGCAGCATTTGGCGTCTTTGTATTGCTACCGTTGCTTTTCTTGACTGGTCCCTTGGGATTCGTGAAGTGGTGGGTGGTGCCCTGGTTGGGTTACCATTTTTGGATGAGCACTTTCACTCTTGTTCACCACACAGCACCTCACATCCCCTTCAAGCAAGCTCGGGAATGGAGCGTAGTGGAAGCGCAGTTGAATGGAACGATTCATTGCGAGTATCCTGCGTGGTAAGTCGGCGCTGTTGGTATTGCTCAGTTCTAAGAGCAGCGGAAATCAACGAGTTTAGAAGCCACATATGTGTTTTTGAAATCCGCACCCGGTGCATTGCCACTTTTTGCTCAGTAATTTTGCTAATGCTTAAATCTCCGTGCTGAATTTGCAAGTTGGCCGTAGAATAAGCACTGATTAACTTCATAAATGACTTTGTTCATCCTCCAGGATTGAGTTTCTCTGCCACGATATTAGTGTACACATTCCTCATCACATTTCCTCGAAGATCCCAAGCTACAATCTCCGGAAAGCATATGCATCTCTTCAGCAAAACTGGGATAAACACTTGAACAAAGCTGAATTTGGAGTTCCTCTGATGACCACCATTGTAACACAATGCAACTTATTTGACGATAAGAAGAAAAGGTGGGTGAAATTTGACAAAGCTTTACGTAGTGAACCGGTACAGCCAGCCGAAGACTAATTCTCGGCTAGGTTTGGCACAAACGTGGGAAAATTTTTCGATCCTCTGATTGGTTCGAGGTACTCAAGTATTCCTCGTGAACGGGAAGATAATGAGATTTGGAGCTCTTCAGTATTGCGAAGACTTTTTTCTGAAGGTGGAGGAGGTGATCATTCATAGTAGATGGAGTTACACTCGATCTGGTTTGTGTATGCCCGCTGGCCTTGTTGGACACATTTGGTCTAAAGTGCCTATTCAAAATATAGGTATGAGACGAGAAATAATCTAAAAGACGAGAAAATTTAGCACATTCAAAACGGGAAATGCAAGAGGAAATGCTGATCCTTAGAACTTTCGAATTGGCAGATCCTCCGGGATTGTCGGCTGTTTTTGGAGGATATGACTACTTAAAGGTCTTAATGTGAAGAATCCCAAGTACATGTGGACTTTAGAATAACATGCTCTGTTTTCAGGTTTAGTTGATCTCTAATGCAATTGAGCGATTTTTTACCCCACTCCACGCACGTTTCATCTGCCGCTCAAATTCCACTGTTATCCTTGTCTACTGATTCCTGCTCACTTTGGCTTCATGAATTAAACCTTGTACAAAATATTAATGGAATTTTTATTTGTTTTAGCCAAAACAAATTGGCTACATTGACACCCCGCCTTGGTTGGTTAGATATGTTCCCGGTCCTTGGATCTTCTTCCTCAAGGTAACGTGTACGTGGGACGATACTCCTAGACCTTGACGTTGGGTTTTGGCTCATTTACGAATCTCTGTTTTTTTAACTGATTGCAAACAGTCGATTCTCGAGCCCTTCGTCCTGTAATTTATGTCGTTCTACAGAACCAAGATGAAAGAACTGATCAATGGACCTTCTGGCAAAATAAACTCATCCTGTCAAGCTTGTTTTATGAGGCAGACACCTTCCATGCCGCTCACACCCCAGAGAAAATGCACCTTTGAAGACGACAATCCCTTCCAACATGTTTTCATTCTGCCTGCACATGTTGGGGAGGGGGGATCATCCCTCTTAAAAAGGTGCAATTCATTAACCCAAATATCTAGATAATCCTTAAACAAAGCCAACATTCCGATTGGAATCTTCACAGTTGATTCCAACCAGATCAACAGCTTGCAGAATCTACTGCAGGAGACAGGCACCCAAATTTATGCTCCTCCAAGCCTCCCCAAGAAATCGCTCGTTTGTCTATTTGTTTCTATTCTCTTTTCGCTGTACCCATCTACAGGAGGAATTGCTCTTCACACATTTTGGTAAACAGAAATCTAAATTCTGGGAATTGACGATCAACCAAATTGCAATTGAGACAAATTGCACTTTCTCCACCTTCTTTTTCTTCGTCTTCTTCCTCTACTTCTGAAACTTCATCTTCCCATACTCTCATCAACTCATTGGGTTTAATTCCCAGATTTCTTCGTCGCTAAGCTGGTGCTTCGGACACTCAAATGCTAGGGAGGCATTCGTCTGTATGCTTTAGACGCAAGCATCTTCGGCGATTTAGAACAGGTGGCATGCAGAAAGGTGGTGAAGACAAATCCCACCTCACACAGTTGTCCCCATTGCAGTGGTGCATCGATTCCACGGTGCAAAAATGTAAAAAAGAGAGATTCGTCATTCCCAAGACCGTGTCAAAGCTTCGGCGGCATGATTGTTGGAATCCTTCAGGTAGTGATTTGGCGGCTGCCTCGGAGAGCCCATCCGCTAGGCTTAGGAAGACGATCGTGTGGGTGATTTAGTGAGAATGGTGAAAGACTATGTTGAAAGTTTCCTACTCGTAGGCAAAGGAACCAACACCAGGTCGTGAGAGCCTCGAGAAAAGTCCAATGCAATTCTCCCTGGGGGAATTTGATTGGGAGTAACTTGTGAGAACATGGAAAAACGCGAAGTGGGAATGGATCAGGGAAGCTCCAAGAACACGATGGCAGGGGTTGAAAAATTGCCAACTCTGCGGATGAAATCACGCAATAGAAACAGTTCCATTTGTCTTTGACATCTACTAAATCTAATATATTCTCCAGTTTAGCATATTCTTGTTTAAAAGGTGGAGCTTCATGGTCACCACAATGATCATCCCACTGTGGAGGCAATGGTCTTCATCGTCTCCTCCTTGTTTGGATTCTCTTTTTAATTTTAATTTTTATGTATGTTTTTTCGTTTTTTAGGTTTTTATTTTTCATTTTTTTATTTTTTAGCATGGTCTTTTTCTACAAGTCCTGATGGCACCAGCATTGGAGCTCAAGGCAAGGAAGCTGAAATGACTTTTCAGCTGGGTGGGCGAGGACTTTTCAAAAAAGTAGTCTAATCTATGATCTGCGAAGAGCGGTTGAGGGAGATGGAATTACGGGGTTGCAGACTGCAACCGGCCAGGGGCTCTCTCTTCCACTTTGTGTCACGAGCAAACCCAAAGTTACACGCCTCAAAAGCACAAGGTTTCTCACAATGTTTAGAACAGTGATGGAGTGGTGGTAATGGAACCCAAATGGACAATCAGTTGAGAGAGCATCTTTGTGGTTTAGTACGACCTTGCGTCGCCGAAATTCTGGCCAGCGGTTTCAGCATTGTGGTACACCAGGACATGATAACCAAGGTGGGTGATGGTACTTGAGGACTCCTTGCATGCAAATTTCATGTTCATTTTGTCTGGAAAGAGAAAAGAAAAATAGCATTGAAAGAATCTATATACGATTTCGTAATGGTTGAAAAGAGAAGAGTTAAGGAAAGCAAAGAAGAACGATGTTTCGACCTTGCGAATGTTTCGACCACGCTGAGCCGGGCGCCGGGGGAAGGTTGCGGTCTCAGAATATTACATGAAATCAAACAACAAGCCGTGTCTCTCAAAGGAAACATTTCGCCAAGGGAACTGGGAGAACATTCGCATGGAAATGCATCATGGCCACCTTTCCTCGTCATGGGAAGCTGAAGGATGGGTCCTTTGATAGGACCGCCACCCAGATCTGCTTTCTTCTTCTTCTTCTTCTTTTTTAATCTTTTCTACACAAATTGGAAATGATTACTCCGATCAACGGTCTTCATCATTTACTTGCAACACTGTGTGGGCATGTATGATCCAAAGGGAGGGTGAGAGAGGGAAATTTTGCCTGGTTACCCCCCATTCATCTGGAGGATTGAGATGAGGTGTACGAGGGGTGAAACGGCGAGACTCAGTCCGAGCGCCAGGTTGCATGTGGCCCCACAAAAACCTTGGTGGTGCAGCTGTGATGGGCTTGAATATGATGTTGGAGCAATGCTCACAAGCACCCTTGCCTGGGCTCATCAGGATTCTTCTTCATGCTCATCTCACAGATCGTTAGCCATGCCTATTTACCCCACCAGAATTGGTCAAGAATACATCGCTCCCAAAGTCTACAACGTCCTCATAAGCAGAGACCATATCAACCTCGGGAGTTGTGTTGGTCTTTCTTGCACTCCACTTCTGCCCCCCTCCGTTCCCATTTCAATATTCTCACATTCATCGCTGCACTCAGTAGCCGCTGCATGAAGGCTGTGAACTCGTATTTAAGGGGTTGCATGCTTTACCCATGTTATATATTGTTGAGGATGTGGAGTACTCTCAACGAGCGCAGTCTAAACACGAGGCGGAGTTCGTCAATTACGAGTGATTGGTTTCAAGAGTAAGTAGGCTCGAGTATTAAGATTGTCGTGTTCCTGTTGAGCTTCATGAATGATGTTGACCTTTCATGAAAAAAGGAAGAGTTTCTTGTTACTGTGTGGAATTGCTTGTTGTTTTGTGTTAACTGTAGTCTTTGACCGCTCAATCAATCATATCATTAGTCATTCATTACTTGTTCACTTTATTGGCCTTCCCGTAGCCTCTCTCTGCCTTAGAAGGACAAGAGTGAATTTGATCGCTGCAGCATGAGGTAGCCTATCCATTCTTCGTGTAGTTCCTACTTGCATAGGAGTATGTAGTTTAGCTAGCCTCTGCGTAGTCCAATTTGCACAGTGCAGGTAGCCCGTTGAAGGTGCCTGGTTTGTTAGACTTTTCCAAGCTTCAAATGCAGGGCTAGCGTTACTGAAGAGAAACAAACCATTTTAAGCGCCGGTCAACATGCCAGAGGTATGCTCATCCTTGGCTTGCCTCCAATGCAGCTCTATTGAATTCTTCAGGAGAAGAAGTCAAGTGAGTATGGAGAGATTGTCACTTATGACCCCGCTGATCATGACCTGTTTGCCGATCATGTGCCTTTCTGTGAATGTGCAGTTGCCTGAAGCCGTGTCTACTCAGCTGCAATTGATTTGGTCTTGTTCAATGTCCTTTCCAATCACAAATCTGTGTGCTGAGCCCCGTGATAGCAGATTAAACCTAATCGAGATCAGATGAGTCAATAAAAATTAGTCATGGACCAATATTTGCAGACACTGGCGACGCTGGAGCCCTGACAGTGGCCATGGCGGACATTTCCTTTTGTCGTGATGTAGGCACTTGAATTTTCTAGACCTTCAGAAGACTTTCAGAGTCCGTAAAGAATAGAAAAGAGGAGCAGCGTCTGCGACTATCGGAGAAAGAGAAAGAAGACAACAAAGAGGTACACCGATCTGCATACTATACCTTGTCCTTCAATAAAACTTGTTTTGTGTATTAGTTTTTTCTTTTGGCACCACTACATTCCCTTTCACTGATCGTTACGTCGCTCCTTTACTCCTCCTTACTTAAATTTGCACATGGAGGGACGTGCTCTGCGAATTTGAGTCATCCGATCAAAATTTCTGAGCTGCTCTTACCTATACATGTACTGAAGTGCCTGGCAAAAATCAAATTTCTATTTTCATGCTTCTGATTGGGTGAATGCAGAAAATCATGGGGGACGTACACACCATGGAGGTGCGGACAGTGATCCTCAAGGTGGTATTGCATTGCGAGGGTTGCGCTCGGACAGTGAAGCGAGCTGTGAAGCGCATTCCAGGTGCCTACGAAATCCACTTCCAGAACCGCTCCTAGAAAGGCAGTTGTTGACGAATAGTTAGTCACACTTATATTCTCTCGGAAGTTCATATGACTTCTGAGGTATATGATTCAGTTCGTAAAATTAAGTACTGTGTAATTGGTCTGTGCACACAACACCCGGCGTACTATGGTGTGCAGTGGATGTAAGAGATAGCAACTGAATGACTTAAAAAGGACCTAAGCGTTCATAATCTGATTCTAGGTTCAAATTTTGGTCTTCTCATAAAACCATTAAAATCCAAGAGAGTAGAATGATCAGCTGTTGAAGTGACGTACACCAGAATTGTTGTAGTGAGGAGAGAACTGTCCTAGCTCCCTTGGAAGCAAACAAGAGAGCATACATGATGCTGCGAACCACAGACTTCGTTCTACTAACGAAAATTGGAACCTTGGAATAGGGGTGACGGCATACAATGTGGACTTCCAAGGACAGAAGGTGACAGTCACAGGGGTGGTCTCTCCAGATGATGTCTACAAACACGTAGCTCGAACTGGGAAAATCACGGTGCTGGTGCCCCCTCCACCGCCACCGCCACCGCCACCCCCGGAAGAACCAGCTCCAGCGCCTGCCCCCGAGCCGGCCCCGGAGCCCCCGAAGGAAGAGCCACCCAAGGAGGAGCCTAAGCCAGAAGAAGCCAAACCCGAGGAGCCAAAGCCAGAAGAAGCCGCAGCGCCTCCTGCTGAAGAAAAGAAGGATGATCCTCCAAAGGAAGAACCTAAGCCAGAAGAAACCAAAGCAGAAGAACCCAAAAAGGAGGTAGTATGTCACCATGTGTTATAAATCTTAAATGCATAAAATCGACTCTGGATTAGATCTTGACAACTAGACGTGCGAAAATTTATAGTTTTGAAATAGCATAACATATGGGTTACTTGTGAGTTGGTAGTGAGAACAATTCAGTTCAATTCAACTGCTCCAGGATCCTGAACATTGTGGGAGGACTCTCTCTCGCTCTCTCTCTCTCTCGTGCTCTGTCTCGTGCTTTCTCTTTACGATTCATCTGATCGGTTTTGAATGTTGGTATTAAATCTATGAATGCAGGATGAGAAGAAAGAGGAGGCTGCTCCCGCTCCTGCACCTGCACCTGAACCAAAAGCGGAAGAAGCAAAGCCTGAGGAAAAGCCGAAAGAAGAAGCGGCTCCTGCACCTGCAGCAGATGAGAAGAAACCCGAGGAACCAAAGCCTGAAGAGCCTGCACCTCCACCTCCACCTCCGCCTGCACAGGAGAAGAAACCAGATGATGAACCGCCTCCATTGGAAGAGATGTACCCTATAACCTTCGTCCTTGGTCCAGATTACACTAGATACTATTACTACTGAAAATAGGCTGCTAAACAAACCCTCTGCGCAAAGGATGTCAAATTACTGACAAAGAAGTCACGAATGGTTTGCATGGGGTTAAACGCTTGTTGAGAAGGTTTTTTGAAAGAATTTGGATAAGAGTGTCTAGAAAAGTGCAGTGTTGCTTGCAGACTGGTAGGGGGTCTTCTCACAGAAGAAGGCCATTCACTGCAGCTTACGAAATCATTACAACGCTAGGATTTGGTTAGAAGATTATGAAACGCAGTATACAATTAGAGCTGAACGGACGTCGTATTGATTGATTGTTACGTGTAGTACAAGAAAATATGCTCTTGGTCATACAGAAAAATAAAAGGATGGATCGTAGGCGTGAAGAGGGTAATGAAAGAAGTTCCAGATTTTAATGCTGTAGGAGGCTGGAGTCCTCATGAGATTTGATAGTGACATAGTACTTTGAGTACATAAAAAATTGGAGCATATCTTCCACTTCACTATTTTCCGCGCACAAATGCCGCTATTGAGACTGTTGTAAAGAAGTTATCTAGGTTTTTGTCTGCGTTCTCACATCTAACATTAAAATCATCATGAAATCTTCGACATACTTCGTGCTTTCATGCGATCTGAGTGCTCAATGGGCATTGAACCATGGAAAACATGAAAGCAGATTCGTTGAGATTCAAAGGTTCAACAAAAGAGCCTCATGAATTTCGAAGGAATCGTTATTCATGAATTCGCCAATAGCATTTGTGAACATAAAGCACTCATATGTTTACATACGAAGCGTTGGCAAACCATACTTTCCGTAAACAGTAGCAACCAGCTACAATCTAGAGTGCATAATCAAGGGCTGCGAAAGGATCAAACGCATATCAAACAGTGTATTTTTCTCCACTTAAAATAAACGCTCTTTCCCTTCAGTCAGAGGATACATGAAATTTCAATACCTGATTGGTTCCTGCAAATTCTATATAACTGACACTTAAACTAGCAAAGCTCTAACCAAAACCATGGACCCACTTCTGTGATGCCTAAATGAATTTCGTACCAGCAGGCTTCCCAAGTAAACGATGCCTGATCTTTCACTACGCATCCCCAACTTAGTCCACTGTGCAGGATGAATGCCACTCAAACAAACAAGAGCCATATTATGGCCCCAACGTCACGCATTGTTGGCCAACTGCTACAATCGGTGACGATCAATTACAATGCAGACTCTGGATTTTACATGAAAGCACTTAATTTTTTAATTAGTTAAGTTCACTTCCAGTCTTCTCCTGATCAGTCTACAAAACCTCACGATTAACAGGTATAAACAAGTACGAGACGAAGGAAAGGATTCCTTAGTGATGTGTGTGTGTCAGCTGCCTCGGATATGACATGCAAAAGACATGCAGAATAGTCAGACAGACAGGTCAGCATCAAGTAGGGTTCTATCCAGAGCAGAATCATGGCAAACTCGATTGACTAGTCCAGACTAATCGGCAATCGGCAATTGGCAATCACGAGGGCATTGACGGTTACATGCGACAGAGTTTCTCAACATGCATAATAGATTCAGATGACCTCATTCAGTTGTCCCGGTCACCTCTTCGATTTATACGTTGAGCATTTGCTTCAACCGTTTTCGATTCCTGCACAAGGATTTGCTGATTTCTTCAATGCTAAGTTGTGAAAGGTCTCCTTAACCCACAATAAGACCATCTTTCAGGCTGCTGCTAAATTCATCACATCGCATCAATCTCTCAACAGTAACGAGTGACCACTGACTAGTAACAAGACTAAGCTCTGCATCTGCATAAGTTGAGTGACCTGGTTACTCGGATCATGAGAGGTATCCAGAAGAATTCAAGAATTTTTCATGTCAGCAATGCTGTACAATTCATCCATAGAGCTCTCCAATTATCGCACAGACTGACGACCAACTTACTACGGAGAGGGATCCACACTCACGGAGTTTAGGAATGAAAATGTCACTCTTCGACAACAAATAGACCAGGAAGATGATCCAAGACAAGACGCTCTCACCTCTCAAAGGTTGAGTTTCTCATCATCGAACTTGAGTAATCCTAACAACGCTAAGTGACATCGGGAGGTGGCAAAACAGACACGGTTCTGTGAAGACAGTTTCAGACAGTCCCAGACGGAGAATTGAACGAGTACAGGATTGGCGAACAATGAAGAGAGGACTTCTCACAATGGTCTTCCTCACCGTTGTAATAACTTTGCCGTGGGTGCGACATGGTTCATGACCACTCTCACAATGTGAAAGTGTACCTACTCCCTTGATGGCCTTTCACGAAACATTAAGAAATATATGCGGTACACAAGTAATAAAATCTACCTTTTCCAATAATTATAAAACTATTTCTAATAACAAAAACTAATGTCTATTGTTGGTGATAAGCAAAAGCACTCTTTATTGAAATAACTTAACCATCGTACACAAACACAAACAAAACATTAATGCTAAAATTAACTATTAAAATGCTTCATTTTATGCTTTTATACAACTTTTATAAAAACTTCGTTTAATTTTTGTAAGTCTTTTGAGGTATTTATTTATTTATTTATAGATGTGTGTATTTTTAAAAATAAAAAAGTTTATTTTTAATTTTTAATTTCTTTTTTTACTATTTTAAATGGATTTTAATTTCTTAAAATAAAGCTTTTAAATTTGGATTTTTCATGATTAAACTAAAACTGATATAATTTATTTACCTATGTATCTATTTTCAATCTTAGGTATTTTAGTTTTTTACTATATATATTTTTATTTAAGTACATAAATTACTTTTAATTAAAATATAAATCTCTTGTAAATTCATTGAATTATTTTATTTTTTATTTTTTCTAAAATAAATATTTTAAAATATTAACATTCATCAAATTTTTGTTTTTAACTTATACTTCAGTTATGTATAATATTTTTAAAGTTATTTAATAAAAAAAAGATTTACATTCTAAAATAAAAATGCATATTTACCTGAGAATCTAAAGTAATACAATTGATTTATTGTTAATGTAAAGAATTCAAAATTAATTGATTAAATTATTAAAAATGAAAATACAACATAAAAATCAAAAACTATATACATTTAAGAGTCTATCTTATGTTTCATGTAAAAATTCAATGAATTTACAAGAGATTTATATCAACTAAGTATTATCTTGTGATATAGTTATAAATCATAATTTTAAATAAATTATATATTATTTTACAAAGTTTAGTTTTATAATATTATTCTTCTATACTTGTGCTCTCATTAGTACAATAGACAATTTTTGATTTTGTAGAATTGCTTAATTCTTCATTTGATTAACCAAAAAGGTACAAAATGTGGCTCACGTTTGCGAGCAGCATGCTTCATCCGCAACTGCATCTACAAGCAGTTAGCAACAGCCAAAGACGTGAGCTGCAGTAACGCCTGGCATTCAACCCCCGCATGAGCGTGGAGTGAGATAACTAGCATTATCTTCTCATCGGTTTTTTATTCAGGTCCTGGGAACCCTCTGCTTGGGCAACAAGACTAAACCTTCGAGTCAATCATGCCTCTCCTGTGATTCCACACTGGAAGGTCTCCTGCAGTACTCCCTCCTCCTCCCCCCCAAAGTTGACAATTGCTGTGTGCATCGATTATGGTGGGGGTTTACACACATTCTACCAAATTTTTCCAGTGTGAAACAAGGAACTTTTCAATTCTCATCAGCAGCTGAGCTGTTGTTATCATGAAGTAGTAGGGGCAGTTTAGGCTACCTTGTCCAGAAAAGCCAGGCAGTAAGGTAGACAGGCAGGGAAGCAAGCAATTCAGGCAAGCCAATATCGTACAAGGAAAAAAACGAAAAAAACAAAACAAATAGAGCATTGTAGCGACAGCGCGGTGGTTGAGGAGCTCTAAAAGCTGTCAGATGGGTGTTCCTGTGTGAGTCCTGGGAGGTTCTCAACGCACTCAGACCTCCTCAGCTGTAATGAGCTCTTTCTTCTTCTTCTGCCTTGCGTGGTGGGATCCTGGGCACCCCAATTTGAATCCTCCTCTGGGGGACGACGGAGTCCCGGAGACCAGTTCTCCGCTCCATTTTTTGCGTTGCCTTTGCACAGCATCTGCAGGAATGCAACCCTCGAGCATAGAAACTGATGTATATTGCATTGGAGGGCTCAATGTCACCACTAGTTGGTGCCATGGCCTCCCACTCTTGGAGGCGGCATTTTAGACAAGATGGTCACCAAACCTGGGCTTCGGTACAATCACGCAGGGCACTGGATCAGTGTTTGTAGATGTAGTAGCGAAGCATGAGAGGCGGGACCCGCGCAGGGACAGGGACAAGGGACAAGCAGGGGACCCACGCCGGGATAAGGAAAAAGGATCTAGGATCAGAAGCCTTGGGGTGTGTGAATAGACAGTATAGGTGTGCACACAACAACTTGGGGTGTGCTTGTAGCTTGAGTTTTTAATATATTATTTATCTATGCATTTCTACATTTTCTCGTATTACATAACTTTGATACTTTGCATCTACTTCCTTTAAAAACATTTCTCAAACTCTTATATATGTGTCTAAATAAATAAAAATTCCACATTGTATTATAACTAATGAATGAAATTATATTAATCTTCATTTGTATTCAACAAAACTTGACATGCATTATAAGAGAAATGATAGTCAATTACAACTAGTTTTATTAAATTGATTGGAAAAGAATGATAATAAATTTTAATAGAAATATAATTAATTATTAATTATTAATATTAATTTACTTTAATTTTAGAAAAATAAATAAATATTTTATCTTGTATTCCATTAATTCAACATACATGCATATTTTTAATTATATCATATATGAGTATATTATATAAGTTTTTATGTAATATAATGCTTATACTATTTTTATTTGTAAATGGTGTAAAATATTTTTGAATTCATGTTTTTATTTTCTAATTTTCTAATTATAAAATAAAATAATAAAATTTTAAAAAATTTAAAAAGTAGAAAGATATGTGAAATTAACAATTTTAATAGAATTTATTGATAAGAAGATGAATATTCAAATATTTAGAGGCAATGTGTTTGTATTATATTAAAACATATTATTCCAAAATCTTTAATCAAGTCCTTAAATGATATAAAAATTTTCTATCTATATCTTTGAATGTATCTTCAAATTATACTCCATACAATTTTCATGCATTATTAAATGATATAAAAAATTTACTAGTATCCCAATCATTTGATATTTTATATTAAATTTATATTACAAACCTAGTTACTTTTAGTAATATATGCTATATTATTCAAAATTTACAATTGTATAAAACATCAAAATCCATGAAGCTTATATAACTATTAGTATTTATTAATTGATACAATAAAAAATAAATTACAAAATAACAACCAATTTTACAAAGAAGGTGGCAAAAAATAAATATAAGTTTCAGTATTTACTCATATTTATTTATGTCAAAGTTGCAAGGTGTCAAAGACAAGAACTCGATGAAAAA